TCCTATCTTCAGCTGAACTTCAGCACCTCACACCAAGTACCTGACTCCTGTAACTTGACTCCTGTAGTCAAGGGTGGAGGTGGGCCCATCCCACCTCTAGTAAACTTCAGTTCTCATCTAAATGTGCTCCCCCATTTTATATGTTGAAGTCTTAACCCCAATGTGGCAGTACTAGGAAGCAGAACCTTTGGACGTAGTTAGGTTTACATTTGTGTGTGTGTGTGTGTGTGTGTGTGTGTGTGTGTGTGTGTGTGTGTGTATGTGGCAGTTAGAGGACAACTTGCAAGAATTGGTTCTCTCCATCCTTCATGTAAGTCCCAGAAATAGAACTCAGGTTGTCGGGCTTGGTGGCAAGCACCATTACCTGCTGAATCATCTCAAAGACCCACAAATGGAATTTTATTTATGTAAATGCTTAGATAATATGTGTGGTTGGGTATCTTGACTTTCTAATAGAGTTGAGTCTTCCTGGGGAAGAGTGTAGCTAAATTTTTAGCACAAAGTGAGGCACCCATTAGGGATTTTGGTGAAGGTTGCTGGGTGTTTCAGTAATGCAAAGACAAAGTGTTTCCCCTGATCCAGTTGCTTCCCCATATATAGCAGCGACCTGAGAATATATAAAAAGGCAGTCTCTGTCCCTCCCTGCACAGATATGCCTCTGCTTTTGATCCTTCTTCTCCCCCTCCCAGAAGTCTCCTCTGGTTCCTGTGGTCCCAGGGCTCAGCTAGGGACCTGTGGAGGAGCTAGCTTCCTGATTGGCCCTAGGAGTCACACCCCGGCCAGAAATATCTCAAGATCAGAGCCAGAGACCCAGGGCTCCAGCCTCTGCGTGAGGCCTTCCTGTGGAGAGCCAGTCTGGGGCCTATGGCTGTAGCTCTGAGTGGAGTGTAGACGGAGATCCATTCATCCACAGTTTCCAGAGGGGTCTTCCCTAGTCCCACATCTAGAGGTCAGGGAGACCAGGGCCATGTCATAACCACCTCCTGACATACAAGGACTCACCAGCCCAGGTCCCACCTCTGCTGGAGGAGAAGGCCTTATTGTTCCATTTCCTGGCATAGTACAGAGTGGGCTGTGCCCAATGGAGTTGATAAATGCTCAGTAAATCTCCCTTTGGGGGAGTCCTGATCCTGAGAGACAAAGGGCCTGTGTTGAGCATCTCTGAGTGTGGGCTCAGGGCCAGCTATTGGGCCTATGTAACTGGGGGGTGCAGAGAAAGACTCTTCTGGGATTGGGCCTCCCACTCATGCACATGGGGAGTGTGTATGTATGGGTGTATGCCTGTTCAATGTGTGAGTGTGGCTGGGTGAGTATGCATTTCCATGTGTAGGTGTGTGAATGTGTGACAACCATTGCCACATACCAACACTGTGAAAATGTGCCTTGTGTGTGCAACTGGGCAAGTCCCACAATCCATTGTGGCCAGGCTGGCAACTGTCTGTTCCTTCAATCCCACCTGCTATCCAGGGGGTGCTTCCTGGAGTCTCAGCCCAGACAGACCCTCCTTCTGGCACTCGAAGTGGCAGAAAACCCACAAAAGTGCCCTGGGGCTGGATTGGGACAGAACACTAAAGCCCCTTTGTGTCACCTTCTGGGCCCCTGGCTCCAAGAGTGGTGGCTGCCAAAGGCTTAAGCCCTTCCTCCTCCACCTCCCCAAAGCCTCCTCCTGAGGCATCAGGAGGAGTTCTACTGCCCTATCCCTAGCCAAACCTCCACTTGTATCTGTAGGCTAGAGGTATAAGGAGGGCTGGGAGATGGATGAGGCAGGAGCTCACTTCTTCAGCATTCATTGGTGAGGCCTGAGGCCCGTGAGCCTCCCTGGAGAGACAGCTCAGTGCCCAGAACCAAATATAGATGTGGGAGCAGGAGAGCCTCTTTTGGACCCTCACTGAGGCTCACTATTGAACAGAACCACTGTCCCCTACTCTATCCAGCCAATTAGGGACAGTGATACAAGTGCTCTAGGGTAAGGGGTGGGTCATCAGACTGTGTGAAGGGTCAAGGAATACAGCTATAGGCTTTGTGGGCCATCAGCAGCCACAGGCAGCAGGAAGTGCCCTGACATTTGACTGGAGGATGAAGCATCAGGAGTACAGCAATTTTCTTTATTTTCTAAAAAATATTTATTTTGAATGATGTCTACTTGTGTGTCTGTGTGTGGGAATGCTCAGTGCAGTTACTTACAGAGCCCAAAAGAGAGTGTCAGATGCTCTGGAACTGGTTGTAAGGTACCTGATATGGGTGCTGGGAACCAAACTTGGGATCTCTGCAAGAGTAGAATGTACAAGAGCAGTAGGTACTCTTAACCACTGAACCATCATCCCCTCCAGCTCTGAAAATTTTCATGAGTCACAAAATATTGTTCTTCTTTTGACTTTTTTTTTTTTTGAGACAGTGTCTCCCTGTAGCCCCAGCTGTCCTGGAACTCACTATGTAGACCAGGCTGGCCTTGAACTCACAGAGTTCCACCTGCCTCTGCCTCCCAAGTGCTGGGATAAAGGCATGTGCCACAACGCCCAGCCTTTTGACCTTTTGAAAAAAAATTTTATTTATCATTTTTATTTTATGTGTATGCATGTATTGCCTGCACGTAGGTAAGTGTACTTGTGTTGTGCAATACCCGTGGAGGTCAGAAGAGGCTGTCAGATCCTGGGACTGGAGTTATTGATAGTTGTTAGCTGCCATGTGGGTGCTGGGATTCGAACCCAGGTCTTCTGCAAGAACAACCAGTATTCTTAACCACTGAGCCATCTCTCCAGCCCCCTTCTTTTGACCTTTTTTAATGATTGTAATACGTGAAAAGCATTCTTATCTCAGAAACATAAGGCAGGCTGGCGTGGCCTGTGAATCTCTAGTTTTTCCACTCCTGGTACATGCATTAATAGCTCCTGGCTCAGGTAATTGCTTCTGCTGTTCCAGCAGCCCATTCCTCACCACCAACCCTATGAGACCAGTGTCCCCAGTTCCTGGAGAGAGCCAGTCTGTGTACTAAACAAGGCCATTCTTTTTGCAACTCTGCCTCTTGTAAGTATGTGTGGGCATGGAGACACATTAATCCGTTCCCAGCCAGTTCCCCAAGGTGAAGAAGGTAGTACAGGGAGGATCTGTGATGCTTTTCCAGACTCCACAGACTCCAGTGTGGCAGTCACCCCTGAGACACAGGTCTGTTATTTCTAGGCTTTTGCCCTTTCCAGGGAACAACTTTGACCTGAGTGGTATAGGCTTAGGTGTTTGGTGCTTAGATAGAGAATCTCAGTGTATCCTCACAGCAGCCCTGAGAGTAGATCTGTGATTCTTGACATAACAGGCAAAAAGGCAGAAGTACAGTGGGACCAAAACTCCCTCATCACAGCCCCAGCGAGCAGGAAGCTGGGCTTTGCACCAAGTCTAGCTTCCACACCTTATGCTGATGATCATGACCTTGTACTATTCCCAAAGATCAGAGACCCTGAAGATAGGCTTGGAGCTTCCTGGAGTTACTCTCTATCCCAGACTGGGTATCCAACAGTCTTTATCTTCTCCATCCTTATTTTACCTGCTCCCATCTTCCCCAGACCCCAGTTTGTTTCTAATGTGATGTCTTACTTCTTCAGAGTCATTGGGATGAAGGCTGGGAATGATGGTGTAAAACAGGGTTCAGTGTGTTCTTTTTATATGAGTCCTCCAAGAAGGGGAGGAGGGGAGCAGATGGAGGAGAGAGGGACTTGTGGGCTACAGCACCAGCAAGCTGCCAGGATCTAGGTCTTGGACAGGAATATCACTGCTCAGATTAAGAAGGAGCTTGGGGCTGGGGAGATAGCAGGGAGATGGCTCAGTAAGTAAAGTATCTGCCACACGAGCATGAGGATCCCAGTTTGATTCCCATCACTTACATAAAAAAGATGGGTGTAGCAGTGCACACCTGTAATCCCAGTGATAGGGAGGTAGAGACAGGGGGAAACCTTGGAGCTTGCTGGCCAGCCAGTTTAACTAAATCAGTGTTTCAGGTCCAGTGAAAGACTGTCTCAAAACAAACAAATAAAAAAATTGAAGATGTCTGATGTTCACCTCTGGTCTCTATTTATTTCATACACATATGCATGAGCACCCCCTCCACATACACATACATAGTAACACACACACACACACACACACACACACACACACACACACACACACGACCCTTGGCCTGGTCTCAGGTGCCCCCAGAAGGACTAGCCAAGAGATTTCACCAGCCTTCATTCTCTGCTCCCTATTGTGGCACCTGCCACAACTTGGGTGTCTTTCTATCCCATGACCTCTGAGTCCCTTACTGCCAGTTCATCCTTACTACACTTAAATCCAGCATAGGAGAGACCACAGACACGTCTGTGACAGGTTGAGCAACTATTATCTAAGTGCTTCTTGTGCCTTATACAGGAAACAAAGAACAAGACTTTCCTCTCTGGCTCTCTGGAGTTGACAGAGAGCTTGTAGGGGCTCTGGGAAGTATGCCAGACCTGGGGGCTGCCTAGGCACAATGAGGCCCTGGGCCTGCTTTGCAATTTCTGAGGATACCTGTTCTGTCACCCCCAGCAGTTGAAAGCTGCCTGGAAGAGTTGGGGAAGGGCTTTCAGAAAACCTCCCCCAACTTCTAAAGCCAAGTTCTGTCCAAGTGCTCATGAGTGAGAACCCAGACAATAGAAATCAATGCCTATCACTGTCCCCTGTTGATGTAGGCTGCAGGGCCAAGTTAGCAAACACAGCATGTCCGGGAGCCTCCCCAGATAGCTTTGGGGACTCCCCCAGGAAGAGCCCCCACTACCTCCTTCCTGTCCCTCTGGTGACCCGTGATGCCTTCCTTCTGGATGGGGGCCCAAGAGACTCTAGAAGTATATAAGGGGCAGGCAAAAGACACCCAGGCAGCAGATACCTACTGCCGACTCTCCAAGCCAGGTAAGGTGCATGGCTCCTGGAGGTGAGCATGGTGAGGTCCAGCTGAGGCCTGGGAGTCATGTGGACTTTTTCCCCCAGAGCTTCAGATGTGCCGACCAGAGGCCATGCTGCTGTTGCTGATCCTTGCCCTCCTGGGGACCCCCACTTTCGGGGCAACTAGTAAGTCAAGTCTGGGATCTGCCCCAGACTTTCTCAATCCAGGAGACCCAGGGACTTGTCCTAGCCTTTGCCACAGACTAAATCTGGTCACAGGGCCATTCTTTCTGGCTTCAGGGGTGGGAAGAGATGCCCTCCATGCCACTGAGTGGGTTTCCTCCCTTCTGGTTCTCATCCACGCAGGTTACTATGGGCTAACAAGTGGCACGCATTTCTGCACTTCCGTACCCAAAGGAAAAGACTTAGAGGGGATTCGGATGCGTATTCGTGGTCCTAGGATTTTAAGGTAAGTAGGATTGGAGTCATGAGCCCTATTGCTGTGTCCCAACTCATTCCATGGTTTCTGGGGCTCAGGCGGACAGTCCGCTTATAGCATCTTCCCACAGGATCCCCCTTTGGCTCCCAATGGCTCTTTGAGGCCAGTTGATTCCTGTAGTCATAGAACCACCAGCCAACACTTTTCTACTTGTCCCTGTCCCCAGCCACCTCCCCTCCTGCTCACAGTTCTATATTCTTGAGTTCACTTGTTAAGAAAATCCTACTGTTGCCTCTCCAGTTGATCAAAGAGGGTTGGCGGTGTTTCTCCCTAGTCAAGTGAACCACAAAAGGCCTCCCAGTCCCAATGCCTAATAGGAAAATCAAAGGAAGATCTACTAGGTTAGAGTTCAACAGGTGAGGGTCAGGGTGGACCACTGATTGAGTTTTAGTTGTAAGAAGTGTTACCCAAAGGCAGTTCTCTAACATTGGGGACATTCCTGCTTGAGGCCTGGGGTAGGTCTCTCCTCTGTACTTAGAGGATGCCAGTGAAGAGCAAAGAAACAATGTGTGAACAGGACTGAGAAGGCCCTGGGACAAAATCAAGGATGGAGGATACTGATGAGGCCAGCTGTCAGCTAGAAGTGACCTAGGCTAAGAAAATCCCAGTATGGCAGGGACAACTCCCATGTGACAGCAGCTGCTCCTCCTGAAGTCTCAATGAGCAGATTCCCAAGTTCTGCTCTGCTCGTGATGACCTCAGAGACTCCTTCCAACACTCATGCCCACTGCACAGGAGGAAACTTATTCTCAGACAGGCAGAACAATGAATTTAAGATCACAATAACTGAGAGTGGTTTCTCCAGGGTCAGAGACCATCGTGTTCCAGGAAGCCATATTAAAAGGGGGAGAGGCACTGAGGACAACTGGGTGTGGGTGAGTGTTTAAAGCTTCCCCTCTTCCCTAGTGTTCAACTGAAACATGGAGACACCTGGGGTGAAGTATATGGTGTTACAGGTGGAAGAATTGAAGAATTCATCCTGAATAAGGGTGAATACATCACTTGGCTCTATGGCTCTTACCTGATCAACATCCAGCACCTGATTGTGTATACTGATTGGATACGCAATCACATTTTTGGGACCAGCACTAGGAATGAGTTCTCTGCCTTCCCTAATCAATATGGCCAGGTGCTCAAGGGCTTCTGTGGCTTTTATAACCTTGGTGGCATATCATCCTTTGGCTTTATATGGGATGATGCAGAGGGGAACTCAACCAGTACCAAAGCATGCTCATAGTGGAGGCATGGGTCCACCCCCAGCTGAGGAGGTCTGTGTGGGGTAACCCAGACAGGACGTCCATTCTGAATCCATTAATAAATACAACTTCTGCATGAACTGTGTGTCCAAGTGAGATCCTTGGGTCTGAGGGACCTCTGTTAACCAAAATGAGGGGTGGTCAGAGGTAGCTCCTGCAAGGATTTGGGGACAGCTGCAAAGACCAGATCTACAGTGTCTGAGGTGTCAGCTCAGAGGCCACAACTTCCCACTGTGGCCTACAACCAGGAACACACACAGTTGGCCTCCACTGGCCACAATCTGTTCTAGGTGTCTCTGAGTATACAAGGGGTCCCAGGGAAGCCACTCAGTTGCTCAGCAAACATTTGCCAGAGTCTAGTTCTTACCAGGTTCTGCTGGGCACTGGGAGGGGGGGATCACAAAAGGGGTAGGAGCCAGGAGGGACTGGGGAGATGGCTCAGCGTATGAAGTTCTTGCTGTGCAAGCATGAGAACCCGAGTTTAGGTCCCCAGTATCCATGTAAAAGCTGGACATGGGGGCTGGAGAGATGGCTCAGCAGTTAAGAACACTGGTTGTTCTTGCAGAAGACCTGGGTTCGAATCCCAGCACCCACATGGCAGCTAACAACTGTCTGTAACTCCAGTTCCAGGGGATCCAATGGCTTCTTCTGTCCTTGCGGGCATTGCATGACATGGATGCACTTACATACATGCAGGCAATACACTCATACACATAAAAAATAATAAATAAAATATTTAAAAAATAATAAAATATTAAAAAATAGTAAATAAAATATTTTTTAATAAAAAGCTGGGCATGAAGCTGGGCGTGGTGGTGCACACCTTTAATTCCAGAACTTGGAAAGCAGAGGAAGGCAGTTCTGTGAATTCAAGGCCAGCCTGGTCTACATAGTGAGTTCTGGGCCAGCTGGGACTATAGGGAGACCCTGTCTCAAAAAGACCAAAAGAAAGAAAAGCTGTGCACGGTGGCACAAGCCTGTATTTAACCCCCAATGCTGGAAGGATGCAGGAAGGAGTGGGAATCCCCAAATTCACTGGCCAGCCAGTCTAGCCAAATTGATGAACTCTAGTTTCAATAAAGACACCTGCCTCACAAAATAAGGAGACTAGAGGAAGACAACCAAGTCAACCTCTGGCCTCCACATGCATGAACACACACACACACACACACACACACACACACACGTAATAGGGTACCTTATTGACCATAGCTACACCATGTTAAACTTTAGACTGACTCTGGTCTCTAAAATTATCAAGCAGTTGGCCCATGGTATGGGAACACATGTCAGCTGTACCCCAGTTGTCTTGGGAACAGGTCAGTACCTGCTAACTGCAGATTTGTGGTTTCTGTGGGTTATGCTTGGCTTGCTTCTGCAAAATAGTAATTGTTACTCAGTAAATAGAAATCGTTAAGTGGGCTCTCCACCTGTAAGCTTGGGAACTTAAACTTTTCATCCCTGGTTATGGTTTATCTGTATAGATGCTTACCCTAGAGATGGCTCAGGGCTACACACTTGGGTTCGGACACCCTTGTGTAGTAGCCCTGGCCAGCAAAGACTTTCGTTCAGCAAAACTTTGTCTGAGTGGTCTTCTCTGGTGAAGCACATCACAACATATATACATTCCCTCATACACATGTGCATACACAAGCATATAAGCACACATTTACCATACAAATACACACATACCACACACAGACACACACACAGACACACACACAAATACATACACATGTAGACACACAGACATGCACACATATAAGAAGGGGCCAAGAGTCCAGTTGAGGGGGCAGCTGCCCACAGGAGTCAATGCAAATGCTGATGGTAACTGTTAAGGCATCTGCATTGCGAGGCACACATACAGGTCAATGTGTAGAGGCACCTGTCCAGAGGTGAAGCAGCGTGAGAGGGCTTCAGGGAAATCTTCCTGGAGCAGGTAACATCTGAGGTTAGTCTTCAAGGATGAGAGAGAATCAGCCACGTAGATACAAGGAAGAGGGAGTTCCAGGCCCAGGATCAAACACAGCAAAGACAGCCGGAGACAGCTGAGTTCAGGCCTCTACCTGCACTCCTGCTCACATTCACCCACTGTCCCTGCTTACGAAATGGGGAAACTGAGGCACAGAGGGCAAAGGAACATGTCCTGGGTCACACAGCACTAATGGCAGCATTGGGATCCAACTGGTAAGCCTGGGCCCTGAACTCCAGACCAAGGCAAAGATTTCACAGGGCAGGGATATATCTCTGTTGGTAAAGTACTTGCTAGCAAGCACGAAGCCTGGGTTCTATCCCTCACACAAAACCAGGAGTGATGATTCATGTCTGTAATCTCATTTAGGAGGTGGAGGCAGGAGGAACAGATCAGGAAGTTAAGGCCATCCTCTCTTACATATTGAGTTCAAGGGCAGTCTGGGCTACATGAGATTCAGACTCAAAAAAACATTCACATACAGTCCTCATCTATCGGCATGAAACATACACTGGCAGTTTTCTCATTTTTAAAAATTTTATTTATTATTTTTATTTTATGTGTATGAATGTTACGCCTGCATGTAGGTAAGTGCACCTGTGTCATGTAATGCCCTTGGAGGACAGAAGAGGCTGTTGGATTCCCTGGAACTTGCAGTTGTTAGCTGCCATGTGGGTGCTAGGATTCGAACCTGGGTCCTCTGCAAGAACAGTCAGTGTTCTTAACTGCTTAGCCATCTCTCCTACCCAGTTTTCTCATTTTTTTAGGTAATTTATTTTTGTAGCACTGGAGATTGAAACTAGGATCTCCACCCACGATAGGCAGGCATGTTCTCACTGAACTATATCTCCTCCCTGCTTTCATTTTTTTTTTTAGGTAAATTTTTTTCATTGATTCAAGAATTTCATACAATGTGTTTTGATCATATTCAGATCCCCTTCCCCCTTCTCCACCCTCACCTTTCCACCTGCTCCCGAATCCCCCCAACCCAGACTTCGTGTCCTCTATTAGTAAATGAATAACCTCATTCATCTTACACAGCATTATCTGAACTGGGAGCCAGAAAAATCATATCATTAGAATGTCAGTGATCTGTATTTCTTACACACAGATGGGCCAAAGCAAGGGCCCACTCCCTTTCCTTTCTACATGGTTTTGGGACTGAATATGTCCAGGTTTCTTAAAATAGAGATTTCACACTTGTTTTCTGTTTCTCTTGCATACTTCTTAGGACTGTCAAGTAGGGATTTCTCTCTTCCTCAGCAATCAAAAATGCTTGGGTTTCCTCATCAAAGTCAGTTATTCTTAGCCTGAGTACATGCAGGTTACACTTGGCTGTTTCAGTACCTCACTCAGCACCATCACCTCACTGTGGTCCAAAGTGTTTCCATCAGGCTGATTCCCCACAGGGTTTTACTGTGGGTAGAAACAGAAGCTAGGTCCTCACAGCAGGTACCAGTTAGCTCCCAGACCTCCAATCCAAGATTCTCTAGGTAGCCGCTAGGATGTTTCAGAGCTTCACATACAGCTTTACACCAGTATTCTCTAGCTTATTTTCTGAAATCTGTAGCCTTCTCAGGTTCCTATTGCTGCTGAGGACTTCAGCCAGGTCTTGACAGCCACTGGATGATGATGATGGCTGGGCTGACCATGGAAGCGCTGTGCAGTGGTCGCTCATGGTCCTAGCCCTGGGCAAGAGAGGTACACTGGGTGAGGCACAGAGGAATGGTCACAACTACTTCCTGGCTGTGCCCGTTGCCTGGCCTCCTCACCAAGCTCAGGGGCCAGGGGGTTGGGCGATAAATGTCTCAGGGACAAGGGTGGCCAGGCCAGGCCAGGCCATGGTGTGCTCCACCCACAGGTGGCATGGCTGGCTAGTTCTGGATGTTTCCTTTTTCATGGTCAAGGATCCAGTTGGCTTTTCTGATGTCTACTGTTTTCTTTATCCATTGCCAGGGGGTAACAAGTGATGAGACATCTTATTGGAGTCATGTTTTAAGTTCATGTGCTGAAAGCCACCACTGCTGTCGCCACTGTCCTAGTGCTCACAACCATGCTGCTGCCATCTTAGCCCTCTAGTTATTTTCTTTCTTACTTGCCAAGTCCTGAGTTCAGAATTTTGAGATCAGTGTAGAAGTGCTGAAGGTCAGGAAAATATTAATCCTATGTGATAAGGTTTTTCACATGGTCCAGCACATGCACTCAGTCTCTTGGGAGCAGGTGCATCCTGACCTGACGCCGGCTGCCCAGGGTGTGCCTTGTTCCATTGCTATCATTCTGTTTCCCTGTTTTTATTTTTATAATTAAAAAATAAGCAAATGCCAGACATGGTGAAGCATGCCTTTAATTCCAGCATTTGAGAGGCAGAGGCAGGTACATCTCTGTGTGTTTGAGACCAGACGGATCTACATAGAGTTCCAGGCCAGCCAAGGCTACATAGTGAGACACTATCTCAAATTCTTTTATTTATTTTTATTGGGCATGTATGTTTTATGTGTGTGTATGTATGTATGTATGTATGTATGTGTGATTGCATGCATATGTGTTTTATCCTATGGACCCACATGGTGGAAGGAGAGAACCAACTCCTGCAAGTTGTCCTCTGACCTCCACAGTGCACTGTGGCACACACATGCCCCCCCATACCAATAAACATAAAATTTGGGGTGCGCAGGGATCCCGGGGCACCAGCTGCTAGTGTGGCGCCGGTCCCCTGTGCGCACCTGGAGGGCGGCGGGTCCCGCAGCGTGTTGCCGTGGGTCCCTGCTTCTCCGGTCTCTGTGGGTCTCTGCTACCGAGGCTGGCTCGGTCGAGTTCCGCCCCAATTTCACCCGTGCACTCTCTCTCTAAGTTCGGGGCCCGTCAGCTGCTGGGTCACCAGGAGAGGTGCAGGATGGCTAAAGCTGGATTTCCGTGAGTCGATGACGGAAGGATAGCCGCCCCCCCAAGACTGGATCACAGGATTTAGTGTTACAGCTTCAGACAAGTGACTCAGCTCAGATCTCAGTAATTCAGCTCCAGCTCCAGCTTTATTGGGGTAAAACTAGGACTATTTATTGT